AAGTAGAGACACTACATACTGATATACACCTGAACATCAGCAGGAGAGGACTCTTTAAAGTAGAGACACTACATACTGATATACACCTGAACATCAGCAGGAGAGGACTCTTTAAAGTAGAGACACTATATACTGATATACACCTGNCAAGATCCTCAGCTATGGTTTAAGCTCGCTGATTGGATGGTTTAGCCGCAATGCATGCTGGGATTTGGTGTTTATATGATATGAAATCCGGAAAACATTAAATGTTTTCCGGATTTCATATCATATAAACACCAAATCCCAGCATGCATTGCGGCTAAACCATCCAATCAGCGAGCTTAAACCATAGCTGAGGATCTTGGGTAATCGCTCGAAATGCCTACGTCTATTTCCGGTTATTTTTATTTGGAAATTCAGACACACTGACAGACGGTAATAACACATAATGAATTATCCTAGCAAAAGGCACAAACTGAAACACAGATGTGTCTGAGTGGAAAATGTTTCAGTATAAAACTGATTTTGAGATTTGGATTAGACTATTGGGAAGTTCAAGGCTTTACTCCAAAAGTGTCACGCTAAAAGAAGAAGCGGAAGAAAGCCCCGGATTTCACAGGTTTTCAGTTAAGTCAGAGTCCAATCAATATAAACATTGCTACAGGTGATGGCTCTTTTTCATAATGCGGTATCAATACCTGTGTGTTGTTCAATCGACTCTCCAGCATGTCCTGGGTGGGGTCCTCTGATTCCCAGGGGCCCCTGCCATTGTGAGCAGGGACGGTCCTGGCCTGGCCCATATCATCATAAACTGTCCATTTGGTTAGCTTCTCCACTGTTTGGTGGGGCAACAGGTTCTCAGCACGCAGCCAATCCTGATCCCACACGCAGCAAAGAAATACAACTGATCTCAAAAGAGTCTTGAACCACGCAGATTGTACCAAATGTTGTCACACACCCTCTTTTGTTAATTATCTATGACTTGTACAAGTGAGTGACATAGTGAGGTTTTATATTCAAAATGTCATAACAGAGTTCTAATGAAAAGCCTACCACCAGAAAAGTGACACGTACCTGAGGGTCCCCACTCATCCGCGGGTTACCTGCCCAGTGCACCTCTGATTGGGCGGTCGTATATATACCACCCTCACCCATCAGCTGGGCCACTTCCCTGTCTGCCTCTTCTTCATACAAGGACCGGACACCTGATATCACAGCACCTGCCTCCCCATTTTGAAATTGAGTGGTGGACCTGGGAATCCCAGCTGCAGCTTCTCTCTCTGGGTTTTGCCCCTTGACCCGAGTCAGACCACCATTGATTGTTCCCCCTGACAAGGACATCTTAGTCAGGTTGATCTTGGAGGGGTCCAGTTTTCCTCTTGCAGCCTGTAGCACATTCACTCCGTCTTGATTGTCTAGGACTGCTCTCCTGTTTCTATCCTCAGTGTTGGATGATGCCTCCGGTGCACCACTGGACCAAGGGCTCCTCTCTGACACATCTGTACCTGCCAGTAACGCTCCTGGCAAGGTCTTCTTGATGGACTTCAGGAGGCTGAGATCTGGTTTAACAGGGAGCACCAGCCTGGCACCTGGTTTTGGGGTTTTTGGCTGTGATGTAGTGGGTTCCCCTGGTGGTCCAGTGGCACTTGAGGCAGTAGCGTGTCCAGCAGCTGCCTGGGGCACGTTGGCTGTCTTTGCCTTGCCCAGTTTGTTCATCCTGGGGAATACCACCGCGTATTTGGCTTCTACTTCTGTCTCCCCAGGTAGGACCGCATCCTCCCCTCCGTCCCCTGCATTTTCCACGAGGTTGGAACTCTCTTTACCCATTTTGTCCACAGAGGAACTCTTTTTTTTCTGACTGGCCAGGCTGGTTTTACTGGCAACTCTCATGGCCATCCTATGTTTGAGAATATTGCCCTTAGCTTTTCTGGGCCCTTGCTTCTGTTTTATGGTCCGAAAGGATAGCCAATGGGAAAAACCGATGGCTTTAGTCCAAGCGGAAAGCTTCTTTTTCATGTTTAACCCCCGGGGCATGTTTTTCTGAAGCCAACCAGACATTCGGTGAAGAGTGTTCATACCTTTTCTTTGTGCTATCAAACGTTCCATGGGTCGGCTGGACCCCACATCAATGGCCTCACTCTCTGATGAATCCTCTTCCGGTTTGGATAACATCTTATTTGCTTTGTGCTGGAGAGATGACATCTTGACTTTGCCCAAGAGCAAGCTCTGTGGAAGCCCTTTGACGACAGCGTCCTGCTGTTCTTCCACCTTCAGAATGTTCTTGAGGTCTTTACCTTTATCTTTGAGAAGCATCATTCGGTTTTGGCCTTTGATGGCTTTGGTCAATTCAGCCTCCTCCTCCTCTTCCTCATCTGGGTCAGTTTCTTCAGGAACATCTTTCTCATGAGTACTTTTTCTTTTACCTTTTGGTGATTCGATCTCCTCCGTTGCAGAACTGGGTTTTTCCTCTTTCTGTGTTTTAGTCTTTTTCTTTTTTTCTTCCTTAGCTTTTTGTTTGGCTTCCTTTTCTAACCTCTTCTTCTCTGCTTTGGCTCTCTGTTTCTCCGCCTTTTCCGCCTGCTTATCTGCCTTGGTTTTTTTGTCCATCTTGTTTTTCGGTCCTTGAGCAAGCTTCGAGGGATGTGGAGTCTGTCTGCGTCGTCTGCCGCCTTTATCAGCTGTTGGCTTTTCAGACTTGTCCTCATGGGTTATCTCGTCTTCCTCGCTCTCATCATGGATAGCCTTTGGACATACTTTAACTTCCTTCTCACTCTCCTCTTCTTCTTCGCTGGATGTGGCCGGTTCACTTGAAAGATCTTTGTCCGATTCTTTGGTCTCTGTCCGGTCTTTATTTCTTTGAGTATCTAACGCCTCAGCCTCCTCCTCAATGCTGTCCTCACTTCCATGCGTCTCAGATGGCTCTTCGTTACTTCCCTGCTCCTCCTCTTTCTCATCGTTACTAATTTCCTCTTCAGTGACCTCCGCTGAGTCTTCTGTATCACTTTCAGTGTCCTCCTCACTCGCTGACACGTTCCCACTTCTCTTGTTATCAGGCTTAGGGGGGAGTTTCTTGTTGATCCTTGCTTGTATAGTTGCTTTTGGTAAGGGCTTGAGTTTGGTGGTCTTCTTTATGCCCATCTTACTTTCTTTGTCATGTTGAGTTTGTGATATACTTTTAGCAGTTTTGCCATTTCCTAGTGTGCTCCCAACTTGTTCTTTTGGTCCTGTACTTCTTGTTTTACTGTGATCTATTTTATTACTTCTGTGGCTCTTCACTTCGAATGTCTTGCCATCTTCTAGAGCTGGTAAATCCCCTCTAACTCTTTGTTTCACACTCAGCTCTTTAGAGGGAGAATGTGATGCTTTGGAACCATTCTGTCTCACATTTTTCTGCTGACTTTCTTTTTTTTCCTTCTGCTTCGTAGCATGTTTTTTACCTTGGGAGTTCACCTGTGACATGCTATCAGTTCTTCAGAGATGAAATGACCAAGGGTACAAACATAATATAAATTGTATTTATTTTGTCATTTGAAGGCAAGTGTTGAAATCTATCAACACACTTTGATAAATAAGTGAGCCACTCAATAAAAAGAAAGATTTTGGACTGTAAGTTGAGTAACACGTCTGTCGAACTCAGTGAAACCAGGTCCTTTGCGCAATCCATCAGCATCTAGACCAGGTTACACACTTTAAGTCCCTGATCCTCGTTCTGAGGTTAAAGACACCCAGGTCAGACCTAGTTTAGCCACAACTGAGATAATAAGCATTCTGACAGTTATTGCCAAGCTAAGTATGAGTGCAACAGTGCATCTCCATCAACATTCATTTAACAATACGACAGCAGCTATGACTCTTTTCCATGCTGGATGATAACGACTCTCCGTTTCCTTTTAACAGCAAAGAGAAGCTCTTATCTGCATGTTGAATCTAAACGGCAGTGAAAGGCTATCTGTAGATCCACCTAAATGTAGTTTTATAGCCTGTGCGTCCTGGGGGGCAAAGCAGTGAGAGCTCATTTCAGTGTGATATAGCTTACCAGGCTTCTCAGGTGAAACCCAGGCATGGCTGGGGGGCTGCAAAGTGCTCCGGCTTGTCCTCAAGAGCTGGTGTCACTGATACAAACATGCCCCAAGCTCAGGAGCACTGAAGGGAAATCACACACCAATATCCCACCCATTATACAGAAAAGGCATGCAGCCAAATATGTAATGCACACCCCCAAAAAGTTTGTGCGTAGTTTTTGCAACACAATGCTCCTGTGGACAAAGGTGAGCTGGTGTGCACTGGCGCGTGAACACACAAGGTGCCTGCTGAATAATACAGCTGTACCTGCTGGTCATACGGCTCTGCTGCCGCTCATGAGGCTGCAGCTGAACACTCCGGAGGAAACGGGAGAGGAGAGATGCTCAGAGCAATCAACAGAAGGTGCTGATGGATGAGAGAGGGACAGAAAGACAGGGGAGGGAGAGAAGAGATTGTTACGTTGCCGTTTATTGGGAGGGAAATTCCATAAGTGTGTGCCGGAATGCTGGACAGGCCTTAAAACTACATGTCAAAATATCCATGGAAGTCATAAGTATTTTGAAAGTAAAACATTTTGAATTGGTTTGTGCTCCAGCAAGTATTTTTTTTTAAAGAAACTGTTAAGCAGTATTTACATTGTTACTCTACCTATTTTTCAATAAAGTGAAGACTTGTTTACCTACTTTGTATACTCTGATAGAATAACTGTATGCTGTTGAAAAAACCCAATAAACAAACTTAAAAAACAACTGGTTGTGATCAATCTGCCATACAAATGCCTATTTCCAGGTTTCATGTTTTTTTGTGTCTCTACTGTGACTGTCTCCATGCTTTAATATTCAAAAAGCTCTTTATTTTTCACAGGGATTTTACCTATAGAACACACTACATGGGAGGGAGAACCAAGAATAGGGCATAAGTGATTTCTATTGATTTACTTTTAAGATTTTCTTTAAAAAAATGTTTCAAATCTAATCTAACCCCCCCCCTCCTTAGGGTCAGTCTTAGTGTGGGAAGTACAGAGCCTAGCTTAGCCCACTGGAAGGGGACAGAGCTGGCCATAACACATTAAGCTCATTACCAAAGTCCAAGGTACTTAGGCAACACTTAACATGATGAGTCATGTTGCAGGGTCGTCCTCTCACAGAGCTGCTGTTAGCGGGCAGGCCCTCAGAGGGATCAGGTTGCAGCAAAGCCACCAGGCTCCAGGCAATTAGAGGACAAAGCGCCTCTTTCTATAATGGATGCTCAAAACTCTTGGCTGTGCATGGATGACAACTGATCCTCTTTTATCCACCTCTGCTCAATAAGACCAAGATTACAGCTGGGCTTTATGGAAAAGGCGGAAATTAAAAACAGTTGGGAACATAACCATGTGGGTTGGGGGATCTAATTCTCTTCCGGTGTCAGGGGAGATAGAAACACAATTCAGACGTTCTGAAGGAGCTTTTTGCTGTGCAGCAGAGGTGGATGATGTGGGAAAAGTGGTTACATAATAACGATAGCAGTGTACTTAGAAAATAAAAACAGACACATTCATTCTTGGGAAAAACATGTAATGATAATAATCCACAAGAAAACTGTAGTGTGAAGTTACAAATAAAAAAAATTAGGGTTCTTAATCAGTTCACTACAAAAATATATTCTAGGCTGATGCTAAATACCCAGCAATCTGAGACACAGTACCAAAATATTTCCTTGTGATCTAAATAGCAGCCAACCCCAGTTACAACAGGCCCACAGGTACAGACTGAGTCACATACATACTGTATATATTAAAACATTTCACTAACATAGCTTACAATTAGATTCCTAAATTACATTATTCATTTCTGGCATAAAAAATTGTTTACATAAAAATAATTAAAAACCAAACCCCAAAGAAAGCTGTTCCCCCCAAAAAGCTACAGCACTGTGGGCTCCGCACGGTGGACAAGTACCTACGGCCGGTTAGAAAGGACAGAGTGGACGGGACGGGGGACGGGGCCGGGGGACGGAGACGCTTACAGTCTGTAAGGATGTGACTCATTCATGACTGAGAAACTAAAATAAAACAGCAGTGCGGCTCAATGTACAAAAAACATTTCTTTTTTCCAGGGACAAAACATTTCCCTCTGATTAGCATTGAAGCCCATTTTTACCACAACAAAAAGAGGTTGTAAGGGGGAGTTTAACATGTGTGGATTCATAAAGAAACAGTTGATTCCAAATTAGAATGAGATTTACTAAAAGAAGTATTTAAAATGTATCAAATACTTCAACATGAAGATATTACTTTTAAAATGAACTCATTGTTGAACTGACTCTAAAATATGACAGCATCCAGATTTATGACTTCATATACAAATATTTTGAGAAAAACAATTCCTCAATATCATAATTTATCATAGTATCTCGTAATATTGACTTGTAAAGTGTTTTTTAATTAATTGTCATGCCTAACGTATCATCTTTATCTGTATTCTCAGATAAATGGGCTTCCACAGTATAAAACTGAAGCTTCTTCAAATAAAAAAAAATCAGGCACAAATCACATAAAACTTGAGCTGTAAAATGAATCAGCATTATTCAGATCCTCCCCCACACTCCTTCCAGCTGTGTGTGCTGAGGGTGGATGGAGGCCGGTGAGACTGCAGCTGATTGGCTGAAGAGAAGGCTGCTGGTGACAGGCTTTAGAGGAAGTGGCTGTGGTCAAAGTCAAAAAGTCACAAAGCTTCAACATCTATGGCAGGCTGGAGGTGGTGGCGTTGATCTTGATGTGATGGTGGCGTTGGTCACATGTCAGGAATGTGCTCCATGTGGCTTTGGGTTGTGACCGTGCTGTGAACCGGGGTTACAGCGGGGTCTTTAGGCACAGGCGGTGTCCCCTCCTCCACCCTGTCTGCACCGTGAGTCAGCTCCACTGCCAAAGCTCTCCACCAGGGGCCGTGGAGGAGCTGCTAGGGGGGCGGTCAGTCACTGGGCCAGGGGTCAGGGGTCAGTAGTGGTTGTGTCAGCCGAGGAGGACTGCAGTCTGCTTCATACACATCAAGTCAGTTCACTGTGGACACAAACACACCATGGTGACTCAAACATGGCCGCTGAGTGTGAGCACCACAGGTAAAGAGTTCTCTGCTTCAGGCTCACCTCAGCTGTTGGAGACGTCTTTAAGCTACAGCACTCTTCACATTATTCTCCAGGATCGACCTGTAGCAAACACACCATAGAACCCATCAACACCGCTGTTCCATAGTTACTTTAGTTTGACCTAAACTGATCATTCCTTTTACAAATTATATTCCTCATTCATGTAAATTACAAATGTACAACCATGAAAATATGTGTTGCATAATTTTAACTAGGCGTTCAAAAAGTGCCTAATAAGGCGCACAAACATGTCATTATTCAAGCCAAGAGTCTGTACTTAACCATGTACAGTATTTGTAACCCTTACATGACTGCAATCACGTGACCATCACTTAATGCTAGAAAACTATCACTATTCATTAGTAGACCATAAAAGGTTGTTTTGCTGGCAAATGTGTCTGCTTGATACCTTTAAAACTGCAATACATGATTTTGCTACGCGGCAGGACAAGCTTTCAAAACCAAATGTACATGCTATAACCTCGAGAGTGTCAATAATAGAGCAACACTTTTTATATTACACAGTAATGTAATGCATTATTATTATATTGATAAGTGCAGCCTTAAACTTAGTTAAAGATTGATAAAAGATAATAGCCCATGTCTCTACTCAAAGTTACATATTTGGGTCATGAGGACAAAGATACAATTAAATACCATGAAAAGAATAAAGGAACATTGCATTATGAGTTTTTACTCATATTTCTGTTGCTAGTATTTCACATTTTACCTTCAGTTTAAATCTCTTTGTGGGATACATTTTTCAAGCTTTGTTTAACGCATGACACAACTTATAATTTATCACTATAATGACAAGCAAATGTCAGTGAAGTCTTTCCCTATATTAAAAACGATTTGCTTTAATACAAATCAGAAATAAGCCATGTCTCACACATACGTTTGGTCTCCTTCTAGTGACTTCTGGATCTCCTCAAGTACTTCTGCAAGACAATAACACACAAGTGTAACTGAGCAGTGTTCTCAACAAC